CCCCAAAGAAACCGACTTTGTGTGTTAATTATTTTCGATTAGAAAATAAAAAAATGACTTTTTTAGACAATTTTCATTGTTGAGTGACCATCTAAGTAATTAATTCTATAGATTCTTGATAATTTAATTTACATATAATTTTTTTCTTTCATGTACAATTAACATTGTCATTTGTGTTAGATAATGATTTAACTAATTGTAACATGGTATGTCAATTATCATTTCACTGTATTGCTGAAACTGAAAAAGAGAAGTCAAGGTTCACGTACATTGGTCCGCCCCTGCTTTGAGGGAACTAAAATTAAACTCGAGAGAATATTCTATCAAAGTCATGAAAATTTATCAAAACTACAAACCGGACAAGGACGTATTTGTAGCAAGAATTAGTCTAGGTCACTGAAATTTTTTATCAAAACTACAAACCGTACTGGAAGATATTTTCTTGACCAGAGCTCAAATATGATTATTCTTTGCTTCAGCATGTTAATATATAGAGTCTTGCGTCCCCATTCAATCCAATGAGAAAGATTCATCCCAAAACAAGTTATCACATTTTGATGATGAGATTTCTTCGCTGTTTAGCTGAACTCTTTGGTTGTTTCCTGCTGCAGGATAGCAACTCACAAACAAGCTATTTTTTGCTAACGAACTTTGCTCTATGCTTCTTGCGATCGTAAGATTTATTTCACAACTAATAGATGAAAAATGTTGAGTAGTATTCTCCATGAAGAAAAATGGGGTTTTAATTTCTTTGATGGGTTGTTATTACTTGTTGCTGCCTTTGCAGGGCCGGCTCCATAGTAATGAGGGGTAAGGGGTGTGCCTTAAGCCCCCAAATTTAGGGGCCCCATTTTTTAAAAATAATAAGTTTATAAGTATTTAAAAAATAATATTTAGTATTTTTAATATAAAAATAGAGTTTTTAATATAAAAGAAAAGGAAAACTTTTTCGATATATAAATGAGGTAATAATTTGACTTACTTAAAAATGAGTAGATGAATACTTTTCTCAATATTTAAGTTTTACACTTTTTACTCCATTAAAATTTTTGCTCTCTATTCCTTAATTTGTCCAAGTCAATCTTTCTTTTTTCTAATCTCTTCATATCTCACAAAATCCTATATATTTTCTGCCTTTCTCTTTGATGTTCTTACTCACTTTCTTTCTCCAAGATTTCATTACTCACCTTTTTTTTCAAAGATTTCATTAGTTCAAGTGTTCAACAATACTTTTAAGTTTTTTATAGTTCTATACTTCTATTGCTGTGTAAAATCTTATCTAATATCAACAATATCTCAAGAAAGATTGAATGAGTTGGTTATATTATCAATTGAACATGAACTATTAGAGAAAATCGAATATAAAAAAAGTTATTAACAATTTTGTATCTCAAAAAGTTAGAAGAATAGACTTCAAATAAAAACATATATTATAACTTTATTTTAAAATATTTAAGCCTCATATTAAACTATGGCTTTAGCTCCGTATGTGCTTGAACCACCCCTGTGCCTTTGGTTTCGGTTTTGTGATTGCATTACTAGTGTTAATTTTGTATTTTTATTTCGGTTGTCATATTAGAATGCTTGTTATTTCCCCGCCCCTTTTTTCTTTCTGAGTCGAGGACCTGCCGGAAACAACGTCTATGTCTTCTTAAAGGCAGGGGTAAGGTCTACGTATGCTCTAGCCTCCCCAGATCCCACTTGTGAACATATAATGGCTATGTTGTTGTTGTTGGTAGGGGTGGGCATTCAGCATTTCGGTTCGGTATTTAAGAATTTTGGTTCGGTATTCGGTTTATCAATTGTGTATACCAAATACCGTACCAAAATATTTCGGTACAGTTCGGTATTTCTTATTTTAGTTCGGTATGGTTTCGGTACGGTTTCGGTTTAAACCAAATCTATGTTATAAGGCTTCTGCATAAGAGATTGTGATTGTGAAATATCTTGATACAAATTTATTAGATTAACTATATCAGCTAAACCAATAACTAATTTCGAATGATATGGCTTGTTAAGTCATCAGCCTCATCTATCCCTGTATGGCAATAATATTCATGTTTCATGAGATTGGATAAGTTTCTAGGCTGAAACCACAATTAGATCAAGTTCAACAATGAGAAAAACTATTGTTGAAAAGGAATAAATAAGTCTTATAATGAACATTCACCCGGAAAGAACATCTCATTTCAAATAAATGGTAGATAGAACTCAAAATACTTAGGGAAACAGGCTTCAATAGTTTTAAAAATCTACAAACTAACACAATACCGCAACCATTTACTGGCTAATTATTTCGGTATTTCGGTATACCGAAATACCAAAAATCTAATACCGTATACCGAATCGAAATACCGAAATACCGAAATTTTTGTACCGAAAAAACCGAAATACCAAAACCGAAATACCAAATTAATTCGGTTTGGTTCGAAATTCGGTTTTTCGGATTTTATGCCCACCCCTAATTGTTGGTTGTCTTTTTTTTTTTTTTT